AACTAACACACCCTGAATTGGCTCTGCACAGTGCATCTGTGTTCGTACGCTGCTAGGACCTGAAGGATATTTTCTATTACATTAAATGTACACACCAACCACAAAGACATCATCATCTAACCACCACCAGGCCAAAGCAGTGGCCATCACCTGCCCATCTAAAGCCTTCTTACAAAAGCCACTGAAGACATGAATGGGAATTGGTCAGGTAATGTTGATGAAAAATGGAAATAGGGGTATCTTCGTGACTCACCCACTTTCTGGGAGGCTGCTGATTGCTGCTTCAGGCTGATCTGAATACAGACTACTGTGCTGGAGCAATCCTCAACTGGAACAGTTGTTCCTTCCCTGCTTCTGCACTCCTTACCCACAGCTAGCAAGTTCAGATTAGTTTAGTCAGAGCATCCGTTCAATAACTTTCCAGCGTGAAAGAAAAGCAGTGAGAGCAGAGATGCCTTTGTTTCTCCTAAAGGGCCCCTAATCCTTTTGACTGTCTTTATACATTCTCCAGGGTTTGTGGGGGAAGGGGAGGACACTTTAATTAAAGCAGCTGTCAGAAGCCAGTCTAATTAAAGCACCCACAGCTTCTCATAAATTCAAAATGGCAGTGGGGGCACCTTAACTAAAGCTCACTTTCTAGTGCTACCATTTTGAAGCACAGGGATACTGAATCTGCATGATGCCGAGGCTGCTGGAGCGTGCTAATTAGCACACTCTAGCAGACTTGATTAATCGAGTCAGAGCAGGCACTGGATGCCTGTATAGGTGCCCCTAATGAGCAAGTCCATCCTTGGCATGTTCTCCCCACCATTTCTCTGCAGTTGTGATAGGATCTCTCAGAACTTCCCAACCAACATTTTCCTCTCCAGAACAACTGCACTATTATTTAGCGCTTCATCTGCATTTTCCAAGCACTGTATAAAAGTATAAGAGTGTGCCTCAGAGTAGAAGCTGTTGATATGCTGCTAGGTCAGGCAAACAGATCACAATAACAGGCCTGAGCGTGTGACTCTCTCCGAAACACACTCATGGACATATTCTTCTGGTTGTTGCAAAATGATGACTCGGATTAATTGCAGTTTCTAAGAAATCACACAGGAGCATTACCATGTGTCACTGTGTAATTACCATTGGAGTCGCCATGAACGTAGTTATCTTGCTGTTACTGGGTAATCACATCCATTATTTCACTGTCACGGTGTAGTTATGTTGTCACAACTGTAGGTACAGTGGGGATGGCAGAAGACAGCATCCTTCCTAAAGAGCATTACTGCTACTTATTCATACTTCAGGTAGCATCAGGAGACAGATTGGGATTGGGCCCCACCCTACTAGGTGCTGCACAGCATAGAGGGAAGCATAGCTGGTGTCTTGAAGAACAAGCCATAACTTCTGTATGTCTCCAAAAAGAGACAGGAATATGGGTGAGGAATAATGAAGCAAATGCTGATGAGATCACCTGATTATAAGCTAACTATGCCCATATCATGACTGTTACGTAGAAGGAATAAGGTTATTACCAGGTGGCAAGGACCTTGGTGTTTCTACCTAGTGCAGGAATGCGTAGTCTTTCAGAGTCACAGAACTTTTTGATGTTCCTATTGCCATGAACGGAGCCATCCATATGCTTAGGATCTTCTGTGAAATTGCTGGGCTTGTGTTCTGAGCGCATAACTCAGGGATAATATGGTGACACCCATTGACTTTTTCACTTTAGTTAGAAACTGTCCATTCCTTCATTGCATCCAGAGCCAAAGTGTGAATGAGGAGGGTGGGTGCCCTTAGGGTGAAGAGACTGAGTGTGCAGATAGCTTGCTCTCCCATTATTTCCAGCACAGAAGCCAGTAACAGTTGCGTTTCCCATGCTCCACCAAGCACAGGCTCTTCTTGATAATGCCTGCTGCTACACAAGCCACCTATACAGGGAAGACAGAAGGGAGAACCAGGCCCATGGTGCTGGTCAGCTGTGGAGGTGAGCACAGGTTTTATCTCTTACAGGGAAGCACAGTGAATATTCTTCTCCTGTGAGGGAGCTTCAGGAATCAGCATCCCTTAGCAAGGCAAAATGCTTCCCTCGGTCCCACTGTAACACTATTGGAGGCTCCAGGAGGGAAAACCTACACCAGGACTAGAAATAACCTTCCATAAAGACCATCTTATTTAGCTAGTAGGGAAGAAGGCAGGGACTGGCAGACCCTGGCACATGTGGCAGAGCATGGCACGCGAGGCCATTTTCCTCAGCATGCCACAGCCGACCTGGACTCTGGGCAGTTTCTGCCAGCCGCTGCCCAGAGCCTTGCCCAGCTGGAGCCAGGAGGCTGCAAACAGCTGCATGGGGCTCTGCAGCCCTGGCACCAGTTCTGTGGCTGCGGCAGCTGTGCGTGCGCCTCTAGGCACATGGCCGGAAAGGGACCTGGGGCCACACAACACTGGCTTCTTCCCCCACTGTCTGCCCAGAGGCACGTGTGCAGCTGCCGCCACCACGGAGCCGGTGCCAGGGCTGCGGAGCACAGCACAGCTGTTTTCAACCTTTCAGTGACCTGCTACAGCCGCCCAGAGCCTGGGATGGCTGCAAACAGCTGCAGTGGGCTCTGGAGCCCCGGCACTGGCTCTGTGGCGGCGGTGGGTGCACATGCAGCTCACAGCGCATGGCGGGGAAGGGGCTGGGGCAGCGCAACCCTGGTTCCACCCCCACCGCCTGTCTGGAGGCACGCGTGCAGGCACCACCAGAAATGAGGATCGGGACCCTTGTGGCTCCCCCATCTCTGGCACGCCATGTTGAGGCATGGGTAGAGGTTGGGGTGATTTTGGCACTCTGGCCAAAAACGTTTCCGATCTCTGGTCTATGGTCATTTTATACCATCAGATTTTATCTCCCTGGGGTCAGGCCAGTCATCTACCTCCTGTGATATAGGAAAGGAGGTCAAAGGCTGGGCAGCAGCCAATCTGATTCACCTTCCTGCCCATGTAGAGCACAGTCCATCCTGAAACTAGACATGCCCCCAAGACATTGCTCCCAGAACCTGCCCACTTGGCCAGTGGCATCCTTTTTGGAGCCTTGGGTTTGCTCATTTTTCTTGGCTCCTGCACCTTTTCTTGTACTAATTTGGTAGCCAACCAGCAGAACAGATCTTGACTTTCTGCACAACTTATGTAACACCGCTTCAGGCATCACAAAAATACTGGCAGGACTCTCACTTACCTGCCAATCAAAAGAATCAAGGGTTATTTCTATGTGCTATTCTGCTTCACGCTCCCCTCCTCACAGGGCATTTTGGTGGGAAAGGAGCAGAACAGCGAGGGTTGCCTGCCCTGGAGTCTGACATTTCCACAATTTCCGGGTGCTTGTACACATGCTGAGAGACTGCTCCGACACACTGTAATTACTGTATGTCAGAGCAGACTCAATTAATCGAGCCTGCTGGAGTGTGGTAATTACTGCGCTCCAGCGGACTCCAGCATCTCATGGATCATCATCCCTGAGCTTCAAAATGGCAGCAGGGGCGTCTGAACTAAAGCTTGTCCCATGAGCTTTAGTTCAAGTGCCCCCACTGCCACTTTGAAGTGTGTGGACGCTGGAGTCTTGGAGCCACTCTAATTAAAGCTCTCTAATTCAAGTGCCCCCCACCCCCAGAGTAGGTACAAAAGTGCGCCCAGATGCCGGTGTCTTTGATGGAGTGTATTTGTGGCCCTCCAGGCCTTGTATTGCTTCCATTCCATCCTGGCTCCATACGGCTCCAACAAAGCAAGGCGAGAGTCTGGAGCACATTAGGCTGCAAGATGCTTATTTCCACCCATTTAGGAAAGTGGAGTAGAGAGAGGAACTATCCAAAGTTATAATAAACCAGACTCTTCCTGCTGTCCATCTCAGACATTCCTGTCTGTCTCATCCTCCTCAATGCCAGCAGACTCTGAGCACAATCAGAGATAAGTAGGGAGTGTATTCAGCCATCCGAGACCCTTCTGCACTAATCTTTGGAAGGGTTGCAGCACAGAACTCCCAGACTCCTTTGCAATGTCTTTCCACAACCTTTCATTACTGTCTGCCTGTCGCACGCTGCCCATCTTTCCCATGTAAGGTCTAGCTTTTCCTCTCCCTATTGAATGAGGTGTTATGGAAAGATTAAGTCACAGGGAGAAACAGTATTTTCTCAGATGCACCATGTCCTGGAGCAGATGTCCTGCTCTCGTTCAGACTGTACTGCATGCTGACACTCGGTGCAGGTGAGAGTCTAAATAGCGTTCCCTTCCCTTGTGTGACCTGCAGACAGGCCAGGCAGACGTTCCACCGCTGTGCCCCATTCCCCTTGCCTAGGGGATGCCTGGCTCCTTGAAGAAGGGTGCAGCTAACCTGTGCTGTCTCCTACCTACTCACTACCCTTCACAATGGCCAGAATGTGCCATCTGCATGCCTGGGAGCTATGAGGCACATCCTGTGATGCCTTTGGGCCAGTGCCTGGCTCATTTTTCCTCTTCTAGCTGTGCTTCTATGTCCCACTTAAGCTGTCAGCATTCACAACCATTTCCCAACCTCACGGCCACAATTTCCCCGTGTTTACTGTGGCATTCCACGATCTGTGCTCTGCTGGGTAGCACCTTGCCCTTCATGCGCTCTTTTGTTTCTTGGAAGGCTCTCTTGGAGGCATGAGTAATAATATCACATTCTGGCCCATGACCTTTAAGGGCCACATCTGCACTTTACAAGTAGCCTAACAGCATCTGTATCATGATGATGAGGAATCTAGCTTGTCAACACTTGCATAGATCAGAAAGGTCACACATCACTGTATTTTGCAACATGGTTCTTATTTGCCTTCTTTTTTCTTTCCCCAAATTGTGCTTTTGTGCTTGATCCGCCTGGAATACTCAGTGTGCTGTGCAATGTCAAAGCAGCACAGACATCGAGGAGCGAAAGGGTAGCCTTGTGCGTAAATTAAAACTGCACCAGAGCGGAATGTGGCCAATTAAAAATAAAATGAATGACTCTGCTCTCTCCGTAGGTGACCTGTCTCCACGATTTCTTTGGGGATGATGATGTGTTTATTGCCTGCGGTCCAGAAAAATTCCGCTATGCGCAGGATGATTTTTCTCTGGATGAAAGCGGTAATGTTCAACATGTTCTTCATTCTGTGTTTTACCTTTGATTCCCATCAGGTTGCATGTACTGGAGAAAGGCCCACAAATATTATATGTACAGGCAGTCCTCGACTTACAGCGTTTCAAGTACGTTGTGCACTTACAATATTTATAAAGTGACACCCTGTTTCAACTTTCTGGCATCAGTTTTGACTTTACAATGCTTGATCCGACACCAGACCACGCCAGCGAACAAGTTCGCTGCGTTGCTCGTCTCCCTGGAGAACATCTGTCCAAACTTTGCTGGCACTTTCTTTAAGAAAGCAGACGAGACTCCAGGAAAACCTGCAGCCAAGACTCCTGAGAAGACTCCAGCCAAGATCCCTTCAAAAAATCCAGCAAAATCACCTCAAGGAAGTCCTTCCAAATCAATATGATTGCCATTTACAATATAAATACATGAATGTAGCTATATTACTCATCTATAATCGACTGAGTACAAAATTCTGGGATATTTTTGGTGAAAATAGGGTATCGGACCTTGGTTCAGAACCAATCCCCCATTTATAACATTGTTTCCTATGGGAAAATCGGTTCCGAGTTACAATGTTTTGACTTAAGACGTGGTTTTCAAGAACCAAGTGTGTCATAAATCTGAGGACTGCCTGTATGTAAGTATGTATGTTAAAAAAAAATATTTAGCATGTGTAATTCAGGTTCCTTCTGGTTTATTGAACAGTCAGTGAATATTGTAATCTGATGAATACTGACTTATTTGCCACAAGGTAGAATAGGTATACTACTCATTACACATGCCAACATTTTATACTAATTGACAAGCAACAAAGTCTGTTAGCCAGTATCCTCACTGTTGTGTCCATATGTCCATATGGCTCATTTTACTCTATCCCTGAGTAATTAGCATGAAAATTGACACCCAGTAATCGTCACTCTTGTACTTGAAATAGGTAGTATGTCTATAAAATGGGAGCAAGGAGAGTTTTTATAGAAAATGCCATACTCCACTATATGCTTGTATGGGTTGAAGAAAATGCCTAAGTGTTGAAACCCAGTGGGGAAAAAATAGATGATGTCATCCCTTTTTTGGGTGACATCACCACTGTGTGTCTCCAGTCCAACCACAGCCATGCATTTATAGGCCTGCATGTCTCTATGATAAATGACAGCCTGCAATCTCTACTAGCAAAGAACACAGATAGCTTAATTGTAGAGATTCACTAGAAATTTGGTAGGTGCCAGCAGTTATCTAGTGACTATAGGCATCTAGGGCTTATTTGTCTGCTAGTGTCCATTTACAGTGGCAGAAAATGTGGTTCCTAAACTTGCAGTTCCCTGCTTCCTCAAACACGCAAGGTACTTAACTCTCCTGTGTCCATCAGTTATGTACTCTTCTATGCCACCAACCCAATGCAGTGCAAAAATCCAAACAATACTTTGTGTTTGATAACAGTGACAGTGTAAAGGAGCTCTGACCTCCCTGTCTGGAGCTAGATTTTACTTGGATCTAGTATTTTTGACCTGCATAACTCTGTTTAAATGCTGTGGCTGTCTTGGTGTCTCAAAAACAGTTTCCAAAATTACATTGAAGCTTTGCAGAGCAAAAAAGAATCCCTTGTTCAGCTTCAGTGTGTCTGTAACCTGAACTTTGTTTATATTTTAATATCACGCAGGTCAAGCTCTGGGGGAGTTTCCATACTGTAAAACAGTTTGGGTGAAATCCTAGCAGAGCAGCTTAACAGGAAGCCTAGATTTGTGTGTCCACGCCCATGGATGCTGCACATTTTTCCAGCTTGGCCGTCTTTTAACAAAAATAACCCTGGTCTGGCTTCCAGAGGCTGTGAGCACTCGCCGCTGCCATTGATATTAATAACAAGGGCTGCAGATGCTCAGCACCTCTCCCAAAGAGATGAAGGTCCATTTGCTGTCTGCATCTGCCCACTCTTCAGCACCTATTTCCACGTTGCACATTGCACAACACAGGGACTGGGGTTGTGGGGGAGGATCTTTGTGTTTCCTGAGGTCTTGCAGATGAATGTCACTTATTCAGATCTCTTCTGTCATGGGCACTTCTGCCTGCCCATTTGGAAGACATGTGCTCAGATTGCTGGCTGTTAGGTCCTGTCTGATGGGAGGGTAGGAGACAAGATGAGAAATAGCACAAGAAATGTTTTTTGTCATCTTTTTCCTCCTGAATTCTCCTCAGAAGTTCATTCTTGTGTTTCCTATTGCTGAGCTCTTGCGCTCTTCCAGGATTAGCTTTCCCTGTCTCTTTTATCCCCTCTGATCTTGGCAGCATCACCTTAGGCCACAAGAGGCAGTTTCAGAGCCAGCTTATTAAAAACCCTGGAAACCCTGGCTGCTTTGAAATCAATAGGAGTTTTGCCACTGACTTCAACAGGGTCA